CGCATAGAAGGAGACATCGCCGACCCCATAAAGTACATATATTCTTAATCAGCATCAACAGCCGAGTCGATATAGCCATGTCCGTCTGTCCGTCTGTCTGTTTCTATGCGAACTAGTCTCTCAGTTTTAAAGCTATCTTAATGAAACTTTGCAGAAGTCCCTCTTTCTGTCGCATGCAGCACATATGTGAAAACCAGCTGGATCGAACCACTATATCATATAGCTGATATCTTGACCAAACTCAGCATTTATTAGTTTTACTTCACCCCTCATATATATGCGAAATCCTATTAAGATCGGACCACTATATCATATAGCTGCCATAGGAACGATCGGTCGAAAATTAAGTTTTTGTATAAAAAAACATTTTGTTTATCAACATATCTTGGCCAAACTTGGCATTTATTAGTTTTACTAAGCTCCTCCTATACATGCAAAATCCTATTAAGATCGGGCCACTATATCATATAGCTGCCATAGGAACGATCGGTCGAAATTTAAGTTTTTGTATGAAAAAACATTTTGTTTATCAAGATAACTTGACCAAACTCAGCATTTATTAGTTTTACTAAGCTCCTCATATATGTGCAAAATCCCATTAAGATCGAACCACTATATCATATAGCTGCCATAGAAAAGATCGGTCGAAAATTAAGTTTTTGTATGAAAAGACATTTTGTTTATCAAGATATCTTGACCAAACTCGACATTTATTAGTTTTACTGAGCCACTCATATGTATGCAAAATCCTATTAAGATCGGGCCACTATATCATATAGCTGCCATAGGAACGATCGGTTGAAAATTAAGTTTTTTTATGAAAAACATTTAGTTTATCGAGATAACTTGACCAAACTCAGCGTTTATTAGTTTTACTAAGCTCCTCATATACATGCAAAATCCTATTAAGATCGGACTACTATATCATATATCTGCCATAGGAACGATCAGTGGAAAACTAGGTTTTTGATTAAAAACCTTTTTTGTTTAGCAAGATATCTTGACCTAACTCGGCATTAACTCTTTTCCCTGTGCTTCTTAGATACGGGCAAAGCACTATAATCATCATGAAAAGGTTGGGTCTGCAAGGGTATTAGATCTTCGGCGTACCGAAGATAGCCTTTCTTTCTCGTTTTTTTGTTAAATTTTTTAAATATTTTTTAAGAAAATAATATGATTTTTTTAGCACGAATTAATACTAGAATGTTAGCTTCCATAACTTTGGCAAGACCTCAACCGATTTTCGAACCTTAAAATTTCCGAACTTTAAATTCCACCGAATTGTGACTACCAAATAAGTATTAAAAGCCATTCAGTTCTGAGTGCCAGCGCAAAGTTGAAATGAAACGAAAATTATCAGGAAATGAAACGAAATGCAACTGTCGAGATACGAGAATTGCAGACAATTTCAAAGTAACCGAATCCACACTTCAGCCCAGAAAACTGTTGGCCACCACACAAAGGCAAACATTTACCGCCCATTAATTTTCAAGCTGGGCGTGGCTGCCCTGTATGTTGCCCGTTTGCAGGCAGGTGACCAGGCAAGCAGGCGGGCAGTGCATGAGTGAGTGACAAGTAAACCGCACGCGCCAGCCAAGCTTAAAAGCATATACATGTTGCAAGTGCCACAGCCAGGTGGCAGGGCAGAAGGTACATGCAACTATGAACTAATTGAATACCAAAAGGCCATGGGCAGAGCCAGAGTCAGACCGCAAAAGGTCGCAGCTGGAGAGGAGAATAAGTTGATGAAAATATATAACTGTTGATGCGTTCAAATTGCTGCATTAGTCGCTTTAACTGTAACATTTTGCAAAACACCCGGCGGCTATGCAAATCTGCTTTTCATTCCAAATGCCTGCGGCTATTTGCCAATTTCTGTCCAATTAAAATGTAATTAGCCCAGAGGTTGATTTGCGGTTGGGTCCTCAAAACAACTTAAGCTCTTAACTACCATTCTATGAATGTTAGCAAATGCCAACCCTGAACTTGAAGATTGCATATATTACTAGAGATGGGCGCGTGTCTTAATACGAAAAATGAAATTTTTATACCCTTGCAGAGGGTATTATAATTTTGTCGTGAAATGTGTAACACATAGAAGGAGACATCTCCGACCCCATAGAGTATATATATACTTGATCAGCATCAACAGCCGAGTCGATATAGCCATGTCCGTCTGTCTGTTTCTATGCGAACTGGTCCCTCAGTTTAAAAGCTATCTTAATGAAACTTTGCAGAAGTCCCTATTTCTGTTGCACGCAGCACATATGTCAAAACCAGCTGGATCGGACCACTATGTCATATAGCTGCCATAGGAAAGATCGGTCGAAATTTAAGTTTTTGTATGAAAAAACATTTTGTCTATCAAGATATCTTGACCAAACTCCTATTAAGATCGGACCATAATATCATATAGCTGCCATAGAAACGATCGGTCGAAAATTAAGTTTTTATATGAAAAAACATTTTGTTCAAGATATCAAGATATCTTGACTAAACTCGGCATTTATTAGTTTTACTAAGCTCCTCATATACATGCAAAATATCTGCAATAGGAACGATCAGTCGAAAACTGTTTTTGATTAAAAACCTTTTTTATTTATCAGGATATCATGACCAAAGTCGGCATTAACTATTTTCCCTGTGCTTCTTAGATACGGGCAAAGCACTATAAGCATCGTGAAAAGGTTGGGTCTGCAAGGGTATTAGATCTTCGGCGTGCCGAAGATAGCCTTTCTTTCTCGTTAATTATGGCATCGGTAGATTTTCCTCGAAACAGTTCTATGGCGTGATAGCTTACTGTTGAGCCGTGATAGTAGTGTTATCGGTCAAGTCGTGACTCTTACAGTAATTACTTACTGTTCAGAAGACCCAAGTAGTGTTACCTTACTGTTAAGTCGTGCTAAGTCGTGTTTACTAAATGTTAGGTCGTGTCTGCTCGTGATAACTTGTTGTTAGGTTGTGATATGAGAATGCAGTTCGTGACTTTTGCCGTAATTACCAACTGTTAAGACGTGCTTAGTCATTTTCAGTCTCATTAAGTGAGGATTAACTCTATCAGTGGGTAAATCCTATTAAATCTGTAAATCCTATTAAGTTACTGCTCTGAAAACATGTCAAGTCGTGAGCACTTATAATTAAGTCGGCTCGTGATATCTAATTCTTAGGTTATATTAATCCGACATAAATTACAATAGGAAATAACTACAAATGAATCACATCCAGTTAAGTACCCTTCAAAACATTTTATAATGTTCGACGCGTGACAGATTTTAAATAAAATGTTTCTTTCATCCCAAAAAAAAATAATAATAAGGCGTGTAAATTCGTGTTTGCTTATTGCAAAGTCGTGCTACGTGGTGTTTCGTGTCAGCTCGTAAATAACTTGTTGTTACGTTATAATATGATATGTCAAGTCGTGACTCTCACCATAATTACATGCTGTTAAGACGTTCCAAGTCGTGCAAGAGCACGTTAACTAAAAGTTTCGTCGTGTCAGCTCCTGATTACTTGTTGTTAGGTTGTAATATGATTTGTTGAGTAGTATTGTGATAACTTGTTCTTAAGTCGTACCAGATATGAAACCGTGTCATCTCTGATTGTCAAGTTTACATTGACCACCAACTGAGTAGCTTGCAGCAGTGTGCTTCGAGCTCAATGAGCTTATGAGTTAAATTGTAATGCTTGAATTCACATGCAGACAGGCTTCGGCCCAAACCATGTACATTTTGTTGCTAACTTTTGTCATCACAGTGGCCTCAGGACATTGGGCTAGCATCGGATTATTTCAGTTTTGCTTTTAGCTCAAAAGAGAGGCGGACTCTGTTCGGCCCGTACAAGTAGATTATAATGTTGATGTGGCCTTAACCTCTGGTTCCTGTCCGGTTATCCTTGGCATCTGGTGCTGCGTTCAGTCATTGTGTCAGCTCTAACATTGGCATGCATGGCATGTCAACTGCCGTTAAATGGGTCAGCTGTACTCACATATTGAACTACAGGTTTTTTATGTCGTGGTACATACATGTTATAAATGCGTGACTTTTATTGTTATGCAAGAATATGTCAATTTATTTGCAAGCCTTCGACAGCCGAAACTCATATTACATTTGTTAATTTCTATAAAGGGATTTATATTCAATTTCTTATTCATTTTCCAAACAGATTTCTAAGCCTTGTTCTTCGCATTGTTAATAAGGAAATAGAAAAATAGGGATACATTATTTGCAGGCAAACAGGACATTTTCCGCAGGAACGCATAACTCAAGGCTTACCCAAGGTCCGCGGCTAAACGCAATGTTAACCCACAAATTTAATAAAAAAGAAAACAAAAAAAAAAAGGAAAATTAATAATCATAAAAATAGAAGAGAAAACTTTCTGACATCAATTACCCGAATGAACTTGACCACAAAGTTCACAACAAATATTGCGGCCCGACTGGAATGTTGGCTGAAGGACATGTATGCCATAAATTAGGCAATATGACAAGCAAATCATAATCAGGCAGCCGACGTGCTTTAGTTAGAATTAACATTACCTTTATAAGAGCGGGTCGTACATTAATTATGACTGTACTGCGCAGCTGGGCCGTTCGGGTCATACCCAAGTATTGAAATGCGCCCTTCAACCCGCACCCCAACAGAGCACTTTGTTCTCGTTAGGGGCTTGGCGCATTGTTTTGCACATTCCATTTTAGAGGTGTGGCGGGCGAGCCTGTCTGCATATTAACATAAATATGAAAGTTATTTGCATGTTAATGAGGCCATAAAAACTTATAGACCCATCTTTGATTACACAACTAATAAGCACGTTGTCCCTGCATTTTGCACAAGGTCGGGCGGTGGTACTTATTGTAAGCATATGAGTGCACTTTCCACACTAATATTTGCAATCATTTCTCTAGAATTCATTTTTATGGAGAACATTTGAATTTGCAAGCCAAGCCAGAAACAACCAACAACTGTGCACATTTGTTTAGTTTATATTGCAAGGTAGTTTTGAATAGAACTAGTTCGTCAAAGGAATTCAAATTTATGTTAGTCAGAACCAAAACCTGACTGCATGTGGAAAATAAAGTTTACGAACGGAACCTTCAGGCAAGGAGTCGATTGGACTTACAGCTTTACATGGTTAACATTTCAAGTTTGATTAACGTGTACAATAGTTAATCTTAAGAAAAGATAGTCCAATTAATAAATCACTTTAGATAATCACAACTCTTTTGTATGCCCAGTTCTTATGTACTAACGAAATTTTTTTTTTTTTAATATTTTTTTGTATCAATCTTCTCTTTCAGATAATAACACCCACTCACTCTCTGGTGCTGTGCGCCGACTCCAGGCGCGACATGGAGGATTGGCTGGGCTCCCTAAAGACGGCAACTGCGCCGCAACGTCCGCGCGGCGATAGCTTTCTGATTGATCAACATGATATACTCTCCAATCACCATCACTGGTATGCGACCTCACATGCGCGACCCACCTACTGCAATGTGTGCCGGGATGCGCTCTCCGGTGTCACCTCGCACGGACTCAGCTGCGAGGTGTGCAAATGCAAGGTGCACAAACGCTGTGCGGCGAAAGCGATAGCCAACTGCAAGTGGACAACTTTGGCCACGGTCGGCAAGGATATCATTGAGCAGCCAGATGGCAGCATCATAATGCCGCATCAATGGATGGAGGGCAATCTGCCCGTGTCGGCGATGTGTGCGGTGTGCAAAAAGACATGCGGTTCGGTGTTGCGTCTGCAGGATTGGCGTTGTCTCTGGTGCAGGGATACGGTACATGTCGCATGCCGGCCACAAATGGCCGTTGCCTGTCCTATTGGACCCGCCAAGTTGTCCGTGGTGCCGCCGACCAGCGTTCATTCGATTAGCACCGACGACGCCTGGGATGTGGTCAGTCCGAAGGGCAACTTTTCGCCTCTGCTCGTCTTTGTCAACTCCAAGTCCGGCGATAATCAGGGCGTCAAGTTTCTGCGACGATTTAAGCAGCTGCTAAATCCAGCGCAGGTCTTTGACCTCATCTCAACGGGTCCGAGTTTGGGTCTGCGGCTCTTTCGGCACTTTGAAATGTTTCGCATACTTGTCTGCTCCGGCGATGGCTCCGTCGGCTGGGTGCTCAGCGAGATAGATCGATTTAATATGCACGTAAGTGATATCCACCTAATCTATGGTTATTTTTCATGCTCATGAATATTTCCCTTGAAAAACTGGCGACATTATGGAACAGAAACAATGCCAAGTGGCTGTCATGCCCCTGGGCACCGGCAACGATCTGGCCCGGGTCTTGGGCTGGGGCTCCAGCTGCGATGATGACACACACTTGCCGCAAATACTGGAACGCTATGAATCGGCCAGCACTAAAATGCTGGATCGCTGGAGCATTATGGTCTTTGAAAAAGCCATCAGTGTGCCCAAAGTACCGAAAATGTCCATTACCACGGAACAGGAGGCGCTGCTCACGAGCATGGTAACATCGGCCAATCATCATCTGCGCTTCATAGTCGATACGAACGATACACAAACGTTAATCTCCTCGACGCGCTCCTTGTGCGATACCGTTGACGAGCTGGTGTCACGCATCTGTGCGCATCACAAGGACGACGAGCAGTTGACCATCAAATGTGACATCCTAAGGCAGAAGCTGGCCATGCTACTGGACGCTTTGCAGGAGGAGGAGATGGGAGCGCACAGTGGCGACGATTTGGTAGCCACAATACGCAGCCTAATATCGCGGGGTGTGTCCTCAACGATGTCAGCGCGACCATCCTTCCTGTAAGTAAAGGAAATAATTATATTTAAAAAAATGAAATCTGAAATGTTTAAATCTTGTAGTTCTAAAGAACTGAAATTGAAATCGTATTGAGTTTGAGTGCGAAAATCAAATTTTATGGAGTACAAATGGAGATATTTAATTTGTAATCAGTTTTCCCCTTTTAAATATGCTGACTTTATTTGAAATACTTATCGAAGCGTACCAAAAAATACCCGTTGATGCTTTCCAGCTAAAAGCATAGGACATTTGCCATTATTTCGGATTTTTCGAATTCATTAATTTCGAAGACAAAAGTTACTTTGTTTTTCCTCAGAAAAGTAAGTTTTATTACCCTTGCAGAAAGTATTATAATTTTGTCATGAAATGTGTAACGCATAGAAGGATACATCTCCGATCAGTATCAAGAGCCGAGTCGATATAGCCATGTCCGTCTGTCTCACAGTTTTAAATCTATTTTAATGCAACTTTGCAAAAGTGCCTCTTTCTGTTACACGCAGTACATATGTTGGAACCTGCTGGATCAGACCACTATATCATGTAACTGCAATAGGACCGATCGGTCGAAAAGAAGGTTTTTGTATGAAACTTTTTTTTTTTTCAAGATGTCGTGACCGAACTCAGCATTTTTTAGTGTTACTATGCTCCTCATATATGTAACGATCTGTCCAAAATTAAGTTGTTGTATGGAAACTTTTTGGTCTTTCAATATATTTTTATTAAACACGGCATTTAGAGATTTCACTATGCTCCCTTCGTTTTTGAAAAATCTTATTTACATCCGACTACCATATCATATAGCTGCCATGGAAACGATCGATCGAAAAGTAGGTTCTTGTATAAAAACTTTTTCGGCATTAACTATTTTACCTGTACTTCTTAGATACGGGCAAAGCACTATGACCATTATGAAAAGGTTGAGTCTGCAAGAGTATTAAATCTTCGGCGTGCCGAAGACAGTCTTTCTTTCTCGTTTCTATATCGCAACACTTATTTCTGAGAAATATTTGCAATTAATTTATGATTATTTTGTTCTTTATTTTTTCTTAATCAAAACTGTGGTACCATTTTTTAAAATTTGAAATTGAAAAAAATTTTTTCTTAAAAGTTGCGTGTACAAAATTTCCAATGTTTTTTTTTTTTGGACTCATTAATAAATACATCAAAAGTATTCCGAATGATTATATATAAATTCAAAGATATAAAATCTATTAAATAATAACCTCCCCATCCCATCTCTTACCAGTAAGTCGAACATCTCTATTAAACAAGTTAGAGCTATCTTTGTGTTGCAGGAACAATTCAAAGAGCTATTGAATTTTACTGCCCACAAGTATGCAGTAAAATTTATGAATTGTGAATCATAGCATCAGCGTACAAGTATGTAATAAAATGCTGCGCAATAAAACTTTACGCTGAGCTGCAAAGTATTCATGATAATTGCTTCGTCCTGCCTGAAACCAAATCAATTTAAAATTTTTCTGACCTACATCAATTTAAAAAAAGAACCGACTCATCCTCATTTTTTCGGAATAAGTACAATTTTAGGAGTATAAAATCTATTAAATACCAATTTGCACATCCATTCTGTTTGTAGCAGTCCGAACATCTCTATTGAAAAAACCGAAAAGGATCATATAAATACAAACGAGCGTCACAATAGTCGTTCACTGCGCTCCAGCGAAAAGGAGGCGCTGCAGAGCCGGGCCAATAGTGTAAAGCGGGCCATTTACAATGTGGTGGAGCACTCGGAGCCGGGTCGGCCGAAGCGCTATCAGCGCAAGCTCTCGATAACACCATTTGAGGCGCTCAAAATACCCATAAATAATTCTGGAGAGTCGACGCCCTGCAGCTCACCGCTGCCAATAATACCACCTATTAATATAATATCGCCCACAATGGAAACATCGCGTCTGACCTGCATATCACCGCTGCCAGACACGCGACGCGATTCGGTGGATGAGACTTTCTTTAACAGCATTAATTTGCCAGCGCCTCGTCAATTTGCGGACAGCCGTCGCAGCTCAGGCGTGCCGGAAGTCATACAGGAGCTGGAGGAGGGCGCTAATGGAGAGAAAGTCTATCACATTAGCCGCCTGTCTCTAAGCGGTGGCGCCAACATTGACGATGCTGGCAATCGCCTATCGCCGGGCAGCGAGACCAGCGACAATACGCCCACCGAGCGCAAGGTGGACTTTCTGCGTGTGCCCATCATCACGAGCGAACCGATTGTGGATCCACTCTCCGACTATCGTCCCATTGAGGTATTTGAGCGCACCTACTACATGACGCGCGAACTGGACAAGGATAAGGAGCGCATTGCAAGCATTCAAAAGGATTGCGAGAAGGAGGATGTCGACACCAACGAGAAATGCGAGCCACTGCAGCCGCAACCCGCTCTGGTACACACTTGTAACCTGCAGGTACCCGGCGTTGTCGTAACCCCTCACTCCCAAAATGTTTACACTAGCGCAAGCCTAACAATCATTGATACCGATGCCCAAGCGAACACTGTATGGCATTGACTATCCATCAAATGAACGAATCTAACTTAGGTCTTCTTTTGCTCCCACAGGAACAGTCTTCCTCGGAGGATCTGGGCGGCGAGGCAAGCGATGTGCTGTCCGCCATTAGCAATGAGGAATGCAGCGTGGCCTCTGAAATATTCGACAAGCCCGAGCCGGGTCATAGCCTAGGCGATATACTACAGGTAAATGGATATGTGGATTATGTCGCGGAATGCAACCAGAATTTATTTTATTTTTACCTACTTAGAACCTGGATGCCAGCAACTTTACCCACATTGATTCGCCGGAAACGAGCGACGAGACGGAGGCCATGCACGGCGAGAGTCTGATGGATGACATTAGCTCTGTGCTCGGCCATGATATAACCAATGCGCTGCAGGATAACACAATCACGGATGATACCACCACCCTCTGCTCTGAGCATGCCGGGCCAAGTAAGCCACCGCGAAAGAAATCCATGAGCGCGTTAACCCAAAGCAAGACGCATCCGCGTCGTCGCAACTCCTCGCCCCCACGTAGGGCGCAACTGGCCCGCATGGACAGCGATGATAATCCCCAGCAGTTTGGTTTTGAGAATATCGTGTTTGAGATCGATAACCGCTGCGATGATCAAAAAATACGAGAACCGCCGCGCTACTGCAGCCTGGCGCAGTTCGTGGAAGGTAACGATATAGCGCGTCAGAGCTTTAAGGTATGTGTAAAATGCCGCCCCGGCGCAAAGTAGGTAAATTATTTGTATACATATATATTTATATATAGAGCTATAGCTATGTTACGTTAATCGGAAGTGCTCAGACATGGCCACTTATGGTAAAAATCTTTGTTGCTCTCCGTTTGCTTCTTTCTTCAAACTTTTCTTTTTGTGTATTTTTAATAAACCGAATACGTTAACTTGCTTGCCTACATCCAAAACTAACAAACCAAATACCAAACCGAAACAAACAAATATCGAATATATATTTCAAAAAAATAAATCAATCCTGCTCCTGTCGACTCTCTAAATAAAGCGCCACAAAAAGCGCATCTCACTCAAGAACTTCAAAGCAACTACAACAACAACAATCGTATCTCAACAGCAGCTAATGCTTGATTGCAATAGCAACAGCGACAACAACAACGACAACGACCAGGGCAACACTAACGAAGAGGCGGGCACGCCCACAAATACAGCCCTTACAATTGGCTATCCAAATCTTACAACGACAACAATGACTACGACTAGCGATGAACTGGATGAACTGTCAACAGAAACAGCCATAAAAATCGAAATAAACGATGCTGAGTGCAGCACAATGTGCACCACAATAAGCACAACAACAGCAACAACCACAAGCACAACGAAACCACTTGAATCGGCATTGGTCACATCGACATCGCCCACGAAGAGATCGGGTCATGGACAAGATGTAAAGCGCATTACTTTTGATGAGTCGTGTAAGAAAGAATCCTTTGATGATGTAAATCCCAACTATCCACAGATAAGTGTTGTTGTAAGGCCGCCAACACCGTTGCGTGGCGATTCCATAAAACCAGCAAAATCATCGTCGTCGTCCATATTGGCGGCATCGTCGTGTCTGCTCGGTGTGCGCACATTGAACAGCTCGGAGATACGACGACACTCAAGTCATGCGCCTAGCCTAGCTGTGCGCGAATATGACAAGGATAAAGATCGCCGACATTCCGGCTTCAATCCGAATTACCTAACATTGGATCCGGAACATACGCGCTTCCTCAGCAGTTCACCCGCGGCTAGTCGTAGAATTAGCTGTGGCAGCCTCTTCAAGGTAAGTCCCGCCCAGAAAAACATACAGTTCCCCCATTATATATATATATGATTTACGTTGGCACTAATGCATCAGAAAATGAGCAAAGATCCAAAAAATTAAATGAACAAATGTATAATGTGTCAGCCGAGCAATGCAGAATGCAGCAATTCAATAAAAAAAATTAGTCGTAAACACACAAATGCGATTTTAGTTAAATGTTTTTTTAATATGGAATACCCTCGATAAGCTGCAAATTTGCGTATAGGCTTACACGAATTTTATTTAATTCTCATCAAAGCATTTTGTGCGATTCACAGGGCGAATACGAATACAAATTTTTGTTTAAACTCATTGGTAAACTAATAAATATTACAAAATATGCTTGCATAATGCATAATGTCTACACAGTGAAAAAATATGACGACAGTTCCTTAGTGACTACCCCGAAATCAGAGTAAACATGAGAAATATGAAATCAAAAAATTTATTTTTTTTGCATCTTAATTATCAAAAGAGATAAATATATACTCAAATTAAACGCTAGGCAGCTTTACCGTGTTGCTTAAGGTATAAATACTCCAATCAATTTTCTAACACCATGGGAATCGAACAATATATACTATATACAATATAAAGCATTTTTATTTTAATTTGCCATATTATTTATAATTTAGCTACTTGCGTTTGAGTTCTAAGAACATGACTTAAATTTAAAAAAAAAAAAAACACAGCAATATTAACCGAAATACAACAATAACTACCATACATATATAATTTTACATATATATATGTATGAATATCAACTTATTTTTAACAATACAATATATGTTTTACAAAGCACAAATCAATTGGTACGTATTTCGAAATTATGTCAACTGCTTGTATGAATTTCTTTTATAATTTCACAACACTGAAAAACTTTAAGTATACATTCAACTCACTCTGTAATTCATGTAATAATCACATGGATATAAAGATTTTTTTTTTAAATTGGCACTACTAAATTTACTACTAAATAAATTTTCTTAGAAGAAACCCCTAAAATATAACACTAAACGCAATTATGGACTGTTCAATGTGCGTTTCTTTGTGGTCGCCGAACCAGACATACGCCTGGCAACTCTGGCGCTAATTAGGCCGCTGATACCGCTGGTAAGCCCGTAACCAGAGGTCGGGTCCATCCTTTCTACTACGTTCCTGCGTTTGTTCCATACGCTCGTTCATTCGTTCGATGTGTATCCATAAATTCCCAGCAAATGAATAAATATATATGCAATATATACTAGTAATATCCTCTGTAAAATGCCAATTGAAGTTTTCTGCTTCAGTTTCCGTTTGTGGTTACCAGCACTCGCGACAGTTCCATTTATGATTTATTGATTTACACACGTGTTGTCGTCTTGAACAGTAGTGTTGCATAATACCAAATATTATAAAATATCGTTAACCAATACTAAATAATTCTCGTAACAACCGCTAATAAACACGCATACGTATAGCCTCTGCTTTCAATTAATTTATGGTTTTTAATTTCAAGTAGTGCGCTGTCTCTCTCACTCATTCTCTCAGTCTCTCTCTCCCTCTCTCTTTCTCTCCCTCTCTCTCTCTCTCACTCTTATGCTCTTCACTTATAAGCCCTGCGTCCCTTATTACACAACACTGACACACGCACACACCCTCACACTCCAAAATCGAACTCTCTCTGTCACAAACACACATGCACTCGCTCAGCCACACCCACATGTTTCTTTGTATCGTAGTTAGTGCTGACTTTCCAGTTGCTCTTTGACACGAACGACTCATTGATCCTAGCTCCATCTAATCTTTGCCTCTTTCTTGCAGCCGAACGAAGCTTTGCCCAATCTACAGACCCTTAAGGGCTCCAAGTCGAGCCTTTTTATGGGCTCTTCACTATTCGGGCTTGAACACTTTAGCAGCGGCGATAAGGATGATAAAACGGGCAGGGATAAAGAGAAGACACCCACAGAGGAGGCGTATCGCAAGCTGCCCATTATAAATCCTCTAGTGCGCTTGCCCAATTGGCCTAGTAAGTAGAAAGACCAAACTCCTTTTTGTACTGTATAAATGCTATTGGGGATAATTGGATTTTTGGAACTCATGAGATATAGTACCTACGGAGCAGATTAGTAGAGTTCGATTTGTGGGTATTATGAGTTTCCAATATAATGTATCGATAGAAATAATTACAAATGTTGATCTCGAGTTGCCTGGCTATCCAAGCAGTTAATTCTTTTATAGGATTTTTCCCTACTTCCAATTCCTACTTAGGATTTTTCCAACTTTCTTAAGATCTATTCCATGAGCCCCACGCACTCATAACCTTACTTACATAGCACCCTTAACTTTTCAGCTCTAGCCAATGGCACTGGCTTCATATCCAAATGTCTGCTCGCCAATGCGGATACCCTATGTGCTGCTGTTAGCCCCTTGATGGATCCCGATGAAACTCTGCTCGCTGGCTATCATGAGAAGTGTGTGATGAACAATTACTTTGGCATTGGCATCGATGCCAAAATCTCACTTGATTTCCACAACAAGCGCGAGGAGCATCCGGAAAAGTGCCGCTCCCGAGCACGCAACTATATGTGGTATGGAGTTCTGGGCTCCAAGCAGCTGCTGCAGAAGACCTGCAAGAATCTGGAACAACGCGTGCAGCTGGAGTGCGATGGCCAGCGCATACCGTTGCCAGAGCTCCAGGGCATTGTCATCTTGAATATACCCAGCTTTATGGGCGGCACCAATTTCTGGGGCAACAGCACCAAGAAGGAGGAAATATTTCTGCAGCCCAGTTTCGATGATCGTGTGCTGGAGGTGGTCGCCGTCTTTGGCTCGGTGCAAATGGCCGCCTCGCGTTTGATTAATCTGCAGCATCATCGCATTGCCCAGTGCCAGAGCGTGCAAATCAATATACTGGGTGATGAGGAGATACCCATACAGGTAGATGGGGAGGCCTGGCTGCAGCCGCCGGGCATGATACGCATTCTGCACAAGAATCGCGTGCAGATGCTGTGCCGCAATCGCAGCTTGGAGGTGTCGCTAAAGACCTGGCAGGAGAAGCAGCGACAGCATAGCATTTCCATACAGCGTGAGACATCCTCGACTGCTTCCGAGCATGCCGTATCCACGGATGAGGTCATATCAGAGCGCGAATGCTATGTGCTGTTGAATTTCATAGAGGCAGTCAGTTCGCTGGTTAAGTGGGTCAAATTCTTGATCATCTCGCACCCGGCGCTGCAGCATGATCTCTATGAGGTGGCCTGTCGTGCCAGCGAGGCTTTGGAGTCCATACACCCGCAGGGCAAGCTGCTGGAGGGGCCTTCACTACGCACCAAGCTAGTGGAGGTCATCGATTCGTCGCGTCAACTTTACGATGATGCGTGCGTGCTGCTGCGCGATCGTGGGCATAGTCTTATCCTACGCGAGGATCTGGAGACCAAACTGAGCGCAGCACTGGCCAACATGGAAATGGAGCTAAAGAAGTGCTCCGTACAAAAATGCATTGATGGCAAACTGCGCGCCTACTTCAATGTGCTGGCGCCCAATGAGGAGGTAAGAACCAAACTACATCTTTAATGAACACTATTTAAGTAAACACTTCATTTCTTAAACTACAGTCCGATGGACGCCGCAAATCCCGCCCATTTTGGGTACGTCTGCGCTCCGGCTCCACCGCTGGCCAGCACCAGTTTAAGCCTCCACTCACAAATACACGGGAGGCAGTCAGCAATTGGAGCGTCAACGAGGTGGTCACCTGGCTGGAAACAATGCAGTTATCAGAATATGTTGATAGCTTTCTTAAGAACGACATACGCGGCAAGGAGCTGCTCACTTTGGGCAGACGTGATCTTAAAGATTTGGGTGTGGTTAAAGTGGGTCATGTAAAACGCATACTCCAAGCCATCAAGGATCTGAGCGAGAACTAGGCAAAGTACAAAATGGAATTCAGTCTAAGCCAGCAGCAAACGCAAATGGAATACAGAAATTAAAGAGAAATTTGTTGTGCTTGGACTAGTTAATGTTGGGGCGAGGCTGTTTAGTACGTTTAGTAGGTAAGCGAGATAATTTTATATGAGATAAATGCAGACAACAATCACTATTTATAGACTAGCTTAGCTAAAAGATATAACCCCTGTTTTTCTGTATTTGGGGGCTGCAAGACGACGCTTAGCCGTAGAGCGGGACTAATGAAAAAAAAATGTATCTGTATTTAATTCAAAAGCAGGAAAACAAAAAAAAACTAATTACCTTGAAGAAAATCGTTACATTCATATATATAAGTATATATGTATACAAATATGCATAAAAAACTAAATTATTTTTCCATCAGAATATATACACACATACATAAATATAACTATGTTTTGAGAAGACTTATCATTTTCAGTTCTAGTCACGTAAGCGAACTGAATTTCATGTTGGAATATGTACCTATACATATATACTCAAAATATATATGTATGACAAAATGCAAAAATTATTTAATTGGCAGTTAAACGAATTTAAATGTAGAGGCACATGCTAAATTTATATAACAAAATGCATTTAGCTTTAAGTACAGTTTGAAATTCAATTTACGCTTAGCAAAGCACTTATCTCCCCCGTCCCCGTACCACCACACACACCCCCTCCTCCCTCGTCCTCTCCCCACCCCGCCCCCAAACCCCATCCACTTAACTAAGGCCCCACTAAAACAACTTAACACAAAAATAACTTAAAGATTATTCTAAATTTATAAGCAATTTTCAAATTTACAATTGTGGCAATGAGAAAAACAAAACCACGCAACCTTTACATATGCTTAGTTATAGTTAAAAAATAAACTTAATTTTAATGTTTACGTAGCTCACTCTAATATATCCATGCAAATATTATAAGTAACAAAGAAAAGTCTGTTAAATGTGTCATTTTTTGTGTATAATCAAAAAACAAAACTCCTAATGCGTTTATTTAAATTACTTTAAATTTAAGTTTAAAGTTAAGCAAGAGGGTTCGTCTTGGTGCGGGGCGCCAGCACCCTATTTATTTGAATACAAAAATTTAGCTAGCACTGGACGCACAATATTGTGTTTCAGATCTTTTTAGTATACCTTTTAATTGTTTAAAAAAAAAAAACACAAAAACAACTTGAGTCTTAACTGTAATGTTTAAGAAATTGTGCTAAATTTTGATAGGTACCTATTTTCAATTAGCAAATGTACGAATAATACATACCATATATATATATATATATATATGTATATATATATATATATATTTATATATATAGCTGCATATAAGTAAAAATCTGTTAATTGTGTTAAACTAATTGCTGCATAAATCATTTAATCCGACCGTTACATCACCCATACATATATACTTACTAACGTTGCTTTCAAAACATTTGCTCAAGCTGTCTCCAATTGAGTGAGTTTTTTGGAAAAGACACGCACAGAAAAGCGTATAGCGCATAATAGACACATATTCATATAACAAATCACTTGAGCGACGTCTATATATTATATATTTTGATATTGAAATATATATGAGCCCAGACCAACTCAATTGATTTGTTGTTATATTAAGCCACTAATATTCCATTATCTTTGTGTACAACCAAACTCAACCCTCAAGTTTTGTCACATATTTGTGCAACTATTTACGCTTACCATAATCTTCGTATAACAAGGCAGCAAACCCATTCCAATTTAAATAAATAATTTTAGAAGTTAATACGCGAATGTAATAAAAAATAAATAAACATAACCGTTGAAGACCGCATAAATAATAACAATCAAACTAAAGCGAAACTAACTCAACCAAAAACTTAAACATTTTTTCGACACATGTATTTTCGAGAAACCTTTAAAAACGAAAAAATAAAAAGAACACAAACCTTGCTTATCAAAAAATTATCTTCTTCTTTTCAGTTTATAAATGTAAACTAATTAATATATATTTTTATTATTTTGTATTTTCCAATATACAAAAATTAACCTAATGCATTTTAATTTCATTTTAACAATACTGTGATAACAGCTTTCCAAAAAAATCTCCCCGCAAACTAAACTAAAAAGCCTATTTAATTAAAAGTTTTTGAAAAGGCATAATAATAAAAAAATATAATACAATGGAAATAAAATATTTATTAAATATTGAACAAATTTTGGAGCAAAAGCCATTTGATATCAATTAAGCATTAAACTAGAATCCCAACTGACTTTAGAACGAGATTAACAAAAAATGAAATACCTGAATATTTTTTCCTTACCTGTTGTTGGTAGTAAAGTGTTTTAAAATTGATTGAAGAAAACTCCACAAAGCCCCAGCAAAAATATTAAAAATGTTAACTAACGCAATCCGAATACTTTAACCCCTATATAATATGCAAATTATAATAGACAGAAGTTTTCTTTATGAAAATTGTAATAATATCAAAATTTATAATAATAGCAAAAATAATAAAAACTAAACACAAAACAAAATTAATGTTGTTTTTGTTTCTCAGAATGCCATAAAAACTGTTTGGAAATTAAACGACAGACAATTGTTTAAAATGTTTATATGCACTTTTCATTTATTTGATCATACAATTGTCTTGAATGTTTTTTAACTTGACTTTTATTTATATTTTTTGCTGTTGTTCTTTTGTCCTTTTATAAGTTATTTTTTAAATCTTTGCAAGGCTATTTGGTGTGCCTTAGTTTTTATTTTTTTTTTTTTATGTATGACAATTGGGCAAAATTATTGAGTACCTTTTAAATTGGTTTTTCTTTAGATTTGTTTATTGCAATTTATGGGGTTTTTTTAGTTTTAATTTTTAAAATGCGTCTGCACACTGGCGTGAATGTTAATTTTAAAAATGTATTTTACGATTGCGAATCAAATAGTTTGAAATTTTGTTGAAATTTTATGCAACGCATATGCTTGAACCTCAGTATATAGCATACCAATCGGATCGTACTGTGGTATATATTTATATATTTTTTTATTTGTATACATTTTTTGTTGTAAACAAGCTAGAATATATGTCATGTTTGTTCTTAAGTAGATTCATATTAAAGTTGCCTAAAATTTGTTAAGTACGTTAGTTAAAACTAAATGAGTTTCAATTGTTTGTTATAACTGTTTTGTTTTTTGTTTGTCATTCTGTTACATCAAATTGTAATTGGAAAGAGAGTTTTGAGAGTGTGTGTGTGAATAAGTGTCTGGGCTTTTTATTTCATCAAGGCTATATTTAGTTAAGCTTTTGCTTATAATCGTTTCTAACTAATGCAGTAATGTTTTATTTTTGTTTTTTTTTTTTTTTTCTTTTTGAAATCTTACAGATATCGCTTCATAAACAAACATTTGTTGAGTTTTTAATATTGAGGATACTGGATAACATGGCTTTTTTTAAACTGGGTTCTGTTTTTAACTTTAAGACTTAGTTTTCAAATCAACAGCTTCAACTAACAGACAAGCATTTCAATGAAAAACATATAAAAATACATACTTTAACTGTATTAATAAATACCACTGAAGCTTTGTTTTTTTTAGTGTTTGTTTAGTGTGTTTTTTATATATATATATATATATTTATGTGTTTTGTTTTAGAAAGTTTTTTATTTTAATAAATGAAATGTATATGCAAGCAACAGTTAAGCTCAATTCTGAAGTTAATCACTACCTTATCAGTAGTGAAATTTTAACTTCAGCTATTTTTATTAGCACTACATTTTAAGCATGAAGTATTTTTGTGAAATTATAAAGTTGATTTCAACTTAATAGCTTAACTTAAAATTTGCTTGTTACTACTGCAAATTTATAATAAATATTTAGCATTTAAGAATGTTTTTGTTTTGTACTCAGAAAAAAATCAATACGCTGTTCATGCTTTCAATATTTGCAAATAACTTCTCAGTGTTGACAAATGTTTGTGTTTTCTTTGGGAAGCATTTTAGTTAATTTGCTAACAATTAATTCACATCATTGATTCTTTTTTTTTAGTTCTATTAGATAATGCCATATTTATATTTTAAGTGTGTGTCGCAAAAGTAATGTCACAGTTCCTTTAATAGGTGAACGTCTTGCAAAATCGTAAACTTATTTCAATTATCGTATAACATTTCGCTTCTTTTTTGTTGTAATACAATACATTTGTGTGTGTTTGAGTGTGTTGTATCGAAGCGTGTGTGTGTTATAACCATCATAGCCAAAGAATTTACTTAAAATATCATAAATATCTTTTAATTTTGTTTTAATTGTAGTTCATGTGCAAAATCTATTTTCAAGTTTGTGTTCTATTTTCCGGATCAGCTTAGTTCACCCTATGCATTACCCATTATACTCAGCATAAGAAATTTGCCATTCGATTTTCCTGTATTTTTTTTTTTTCGCTTAATGAAAGTTACAAAAATTTTGGGTTTTTACCTTAAACACTTTTTTCTTAATCTTGTTCACTTTTTTATTTGGACGGGTCTCTGCGGTGATGTTGTCCTTGCGTTATATTATTATTATAAGATTTCTTTTTATGTTTAAATACTTTGAAGAATTTTATTGTATACCTTCTTTTCTTCTTTTTTGCATTGTTGAACAGCTTGTGTTTGCAAAATTCTTGTTCTTTCTTTGGGGGAGTATAGGCAGTGAAAGTAAGTGTTTTAGTTTTAAAGAACAATTTATGTGCAACGCTGAAAATCATATACGGCTGATTTTCCTGAATAATATATCATCTAAGTTAAATTCAGTTGAAATCCTAGTATACTCCTATTGGATACTTTAACGTGGGTGTTGGAATTTAACTTTGTATAATTTACTAAGATTTACTCAAAATATTTTAGATGCTAGCTTTCGAGTTGTCTTCCATATAAGCTTAGCCGAAATAGGATAGAGCACAGTGCTGCAAAACTATCGATGGAAATCTTGATAGCATAGTAAGTGCGCGTGCGTGTATTGATCGATAAACTTTATTTTACTTTATTTTAACTCGTCATTAGTCAGAGTTTTAATAAAAATAAAATGTTAAGGAACGTATAAATTATAAGTAAAACTATATCGATATCGAATTAGTTTTTAGAAGATTCGAAAGAAGAATATCATGTATATAAATCGATCGATGCTATCGACTTTAAAAGCTGTGGCAATATCGATCATTTCTCAGCGCTGAATTTGCGGTAATAGTAATGTGACTTATGTATGCTTGGGGCGATATTTAGGTCAAAATTTGAACGCGGTTTGATCAATTGAATTTTGCTCATGTCAAATACATTTTGCACTTCATACACTTTTGACTACATTTTCTTTTAGACGCTCTCCTCCTTGGTGGCGCTGCTGCTGCTGCCGCCCCAGAAACGATCGAAACGGTCACGCGCCTTCTCCAGCACATCGGCGGCGGTGGAACGTGCCGTTGACGCAGTCGCTGTCGATGAAGATGATGAAATAGCCGGTTCCGGCTTGAAGCTGGCATCGCAACGGACCGCGCCACCCGGTTGGGTGGGCGTCAGCGTTTTGCCATAGACAGCGGCAGCGGCGGCGGCGGCTGCACTGGTTGTTGGACTGCCGCTGGACTTCCAAGCTGTGTGTGTTTGTGGTACGTTCAGTGGATGGCAGTGGAGGGGGGAAATAGTTTTGGAAATAGTGTTTTGTTATGTTACGCAAAGGAACTACGTATTGATACGCTATGTGAATGTACGCATTTTGGCTTAGCGATTTTTTTTGTTATGTTTTTTTTAATTGCGAAATTTGGCTTAATACTGAGAGAAAGAGGAAAGTTGTTTGCATTATATTTACGCTTAGTTTTTGAGATTGGCATTGGCTGGTGTTACGATTGGTATTTTGACGATTGCTTAACGATGATTTGATTTTTTTGGTTGAATTTTTGGATGATGGTTGTGAGTAGCGATACATACATATACAGATACATATATTTAAATACGAGTTAATATATAAATATTTGTAAAAGCGATTTTTATTATTATTTTTTTTTTTTGCTTTTCTTGTGTGTGGTTTTTATTTTTTTTATTATTTTTTTGGTTTTTTGGTTTACTTATGTCGACTTCATATTTGTTTTTTGGTTGGATTTATGGAAGTGGCGTTTATTGAAGCGTGCTTAAAGGCTTACCGTCCATTTTAGCCTGTTCGGTTAGTTGTGGCGGTGCCGATTGTGGTGGCGGTGGTGGCTTTTCCACCGGCGTTGACGCTTTTATCTCGCTCTGAGGTCGGCTGTAGTTCTCGCCTGAGAAATTTGAAAATTATAAAAAATAAAATTCAATTTTTTTTTTAATATTTCAAAAGCACTTTTACCCTCTTTGACATTTTGTGTTACGGTAAATGTCTTGCCAGTGTCCAAGGGCACCGTCCAGTTGACTGGATCGGGAGAGCGCATTATAATCTGCTCCGGAGATTTAACCCTTGTGGGCTCTGGCGGCGATTTAACCAATGGCTCATCAGGCACCTCGGGCACTGGCTGGGGACTGCAGCTGGAAATTGAAATTGCAGTCTCACGGCCATCTTCGGCTTCGTCTGTTGGCGTTGAAAATATTTATAGAAAATTTAAAAAAATATGCTTATGATTTACTAGATTTATACATATATATATATTTTATAATAGGCGCTTTAACTGTTCGTTTTTATTGTGGGCTTCTGCAGCTGATGAGATTTTTGTTGGTATTTTTTTAATATTTCTTTAAGCAAACTTTGTGGTCGAGTTTATATAGTAGGTTAGTAGTTGTAACTTAAAATAGAAATATATATTTTAAATTTATTTCTGTTTTTAAACATAAAAGAAAAACTTAGTTTTAACTTAATTGAACTTAGTAAAATTAAGCACATATTAAGCATTAAGCTTAAAAGGCAACCAAAATTTGTTAGTAAGAATTGAATTGAAATTATAAATACTTTTGCTTTTCATATTTTATTTTCTTTATACAAAGCGCACAAGAGAGCAGAGGAAGAGCATGCCACATTCACATGACATTTAACACAGAAAAGCGGCAAAATGTACAAATAAATTATGTAAGAGTATGCATACAAGCTACTTGGCGCACGCATCAAAATTAGGATCAAAATAGAGATCAAAAGATTGAAAACTAAATTCGTTTTTTTGTGTTTCAGTTTCGGTTTGGCTTATCAGAAGCTTGTGAATGTGTTACAAGCAACGTAGACAGCTCCATCGATAGGTCCGTCTACCGATTATTGTGTATAAGTACCCCTGCCTGGTATTCGAGCACGTAAGTTCTATGTTTTCATATCTTTCTGACTATCCCTAGCGATCCCACGCAGCATTCCTTGATTGACTGAATTTATCCTATTTCAATATTTAACTTTAAGTAGGCAAAAGTCTAATGATTTAATCTAAAAAATTAACACTATAAATTCGTTTTCATATAAAAATTATTCTATTTAAAAACGTCAATAAAATGCCCTTATTAAATAACATTTATTTTACTATGTATGACTTTCGCGATTTTTAATTTTTATTCTAAGACTATATGTAAATATAGCCCCTTTTGTATCTGTAAAGTGTTTTGTTGTAAATTGTGAAGAAAAAATAACGAAACATTTATTATCTAGATGCTAGACAGACTCAATACTTGAGACATAACATAAAACAGAGAAGTACTAAAGAAAAGTTCGAACAGTTTTGACGTAAAAAAGAATTGAAGTACTACAAATGATAAGAGGCATAGATGAAAACGATATTTGGGCTGACTTAGACACACGGCTGCAAAGACAACAAGTACAAACATTGATTACAACAACAACTAACATTAAATAACACGTTACTTTTTTGGTTAGACAACTTTAACCACAAATAGAAGAATTTTGAATTTTGATTATCTTGAACAACCCTGTGGAATAACGATACACATTACCAAAATACCATAACTATGCCAATCTTAAGAAAAATGTCAAATTACTATTTTTACCAATACGCACACACACACACACACACACACATGATTCCACATGGCTGATAGAACATAGAACATTTTAGAAAAAAATTATATAGTAGGTGCCGCCCAATTTCAATATGCCAATTCGTAAATCATAATTACTAATTTCATTACTCAACACTAGCTTGTGTACAACACAGTTTTTGACAAGGTGTAAAATGCGCAATTATTTGTAATTAATTTATGATTTTGTTTTTGTTTACATAAGTTGCAACACAAACATTTCGCGCATCAGATGTCATTTTACAGCATTTCCATTTTAGATAAGTTTTTGTTTTATAAAGGTGTATCAAATTGTATTTTATTGCAGATATATTTTTTTTGCTTTTTTCAAGTTGTTCGGACAAACTCTACTCACTTTCAGCCAATTTTCTATCCTGACCTGGTACCGTTAGGCGTTTGATGTTGATGGTGACAGGTCGGGCGGGTGCCGTTGTGGTTGCTGTTGTTGCTGTTGGAACCGATGTTGTAGGGGCCGCCGTTGCTGTCGTGTCAGTTGCAGCAGCAACATGTACTGCTTGCTGCCACTGTTGCTGCTGTTGTTGTTGCTGCTGTTGTTGTTGTAACTGTTGTTGTTTCTGTTTGTTTTGTTGATGCTTCGCACTATTTGCACTACTACCGCTACCAGCACCAACTTGACTAATGCAACTAATATTCGATCTATCTTTGTCTTTCTTACGCAATTGCTGCAGTTGCTGTTGCTGTTGTTTTTGTTGTTGCTGCTGTAGTTGTTGTTTTGTAGATGTTGCTGTTGACTTGTTGCTGCTGCTTTTGTTGTAGCTCTTGCATTGCGATATATGTGATTGATAAGCATGATTAGCATTGGATGTTGTTGCTGTACGGGCGGCTGTTGCTGCTGCTGCGGTTGATGCTGTTGGCGCTGCGGCTACTTTACCGTTAGGCGGTGGTAGGGAACTACTTTTAATGCGGGATTGGAATGTTGTGGATAGGGTGGCTATAAAAACGTAAGCAGTTTTTCGTTTTGCATTTGTTTTTGTTTTCATGGTTTTCGTTTTACGTCGGGTATTTGGATTTTGGTTGTCATATTTTTGGTTTGTTTTCAGACCAAAACAAAAGGCACATGAAAAAACAAATTTGAATATAAATTTTTGTTTTAAGTGTATATTTTAATTTTCTTTTTATTAACGGCAATTAAAAATGCAACAAAAGTAAAGGCAACAATTATTAAAGCAAGAAAAAAATATACAAATAAATAATTGTAATACACGTCATTTTATCTCTTTCGTTAGTTTATATTGAGAGTTATCAAAGTGGGTTAGTCTACTTGAAAAAAACTGTCATTCAGCATATTCATGTTAGTTAACAAGACATACAGTAAGAACAATTTTGTTAACTTAATATACCTTAGTTATTAATGAAAACACATGTGCCCCAAAATTGAAAAGTTATTCTTTTTTAATCGTAAGAAATTTTTGTTGAACATTTGGTGAATTACAAAAATATGTACAACCATCTCAGATTCTTAACTCCTCCAAAATATACATTCTCTAGTTTTGATGCAGTGGAATGCGCTTTCTATAATATATGGAGGCGAACTTATGAAGTATCATGAAAATATTTGACATGGACATACTAAAATTTACTTTAAGCAAATTCTCTTATATTTCAAACTTCCGTTTTTTCGTCAGAGTTTTTAATAAAACCAAGATGTTAATGTCTTAATATATCCGCAGAGGTAATTAGACTTTGACAAGCCAAAGATCCGTTTTCCTTTAAATATTAAAATTTACATATTTTACACATACAAGAAAGCCAACAACAACTTGTTATTAGCACACACACACTTGCAACATAATTTAAAAACAATACTTATATTTTTAAAATCAAAAAGGTTCGAATCACAACACGCACATCTTAATGTATGTTAGACGTTGTTAAACACTGACTTTTGTTAGTATTACTTACAATTCGGTATTAGTATGTAGTATTATAAGACGTTAAGTATGTATTAGTTTATGTTATTTAGTTGTTGTTAGTATTTTGTTCACTCAACATGCTAATCTATTCGAAAGACCAATCAAACGCTCCATTACAGAACAGAAAACAAAATTTGAAGTGAAATCAACAATATTGAAAATATAAAACACGAATTATAGACCGCAAGACCAGAGACTACACTAACAGAGATTAATGAACGTCCCTTAGACGCATATATTTTTGAGTTATTTTTTAGCTATTTATTTTGTTATGTATTTAGACACTTAACTATGTTAATTTCCAGTTGAAATATGTTTCGAAAAGAACGTACAAGCTTGCGGTGTGTGATTAAATACTAAAATATAGACTAAAGGTCAAATCAACTGCAAATGTAACTAACCAAACAAATCTAAACAAATCTAATTTTAACTAATGATATTTATACGCAAACTATGAATTAATTTAAGTAAATTAAAACGAAAACAATATAAAACACAAGGAAATGAGCGAACACACGATGACGACGTGTGTGCGTATTGTAGTATTTTTTTTTTTTTTGTTTTTTTGTGGGTGGTTTTGCGCAATGTTTAGCTACTTACATGGGCGTGGCTTACGTTCAGTTCCGGCCGATGTAGTCGGTACCTTTTTACGGCTCGACGGGGCTTGACTCCCCGAGCGTATCTGACGCTTGGGTGACTCATTCTCGGCGACGCCAGGACCCACAGATTGTGAGCGTGCTGAACCACGCAAAATGAAGATGAAGAGATGTCGTTTTTGGTTTCGATACGTCATTTAGATTTGATTTTTTTTTTTAAGTTTCGATTTGTTTCATGATAAAAATATGAGTTGTTCTTTTTGAATTTCGCATTGAAATAGTTTTCTTAAGTAATGTTTGTGAGTTAAATATCTCTACTAGTGTGTGGAAAGGTCTGTACAGGGCACTACAAAATATGTTGAAAAACAACTCTAACAACCTCTAACTATACTTGTCTTACACATATTACGCAGCAACAGACATTCAGCTTATTAATCCAAGATTTGATGTGATTTAAATTCACACTGATATTGAATTTAATGAGATTTTCTACTAATATATACATGATGAATAACTGGAAATATGCTTAAATTTATTTATTCTCACTCTCTGATCTGTAGTTTTTTTACGGCTTTTATTTAAATCCAATATTTATTTTAATGTAAACTAAAGCTTTGAAGTTTATTTAGCAATTTTTCATTTAATTTAATTAATTTATTTCCCTGTAGAAAACGCGACTAATTCTCAACAAACTTTCTAAATTTAAAATATTATGAATGACAAGATTCCGTTTTCTTATGATAACTGTAGCTGTAACACTTTAATAACAGTTTGTGTAAAATAATTAGCTTAGTAACAAAAACAGTCTCCATAATTAGACCGCTTATAGATAAGTTATATGTATTTACATATGTACAGATAGCCTGCACAAAGAACATATTTTTTTCCAAATAAACACGCTAGAAACCAAATCTTTCCAAACTCAAAACCTGAATTAAAAGCAAGCTACATTTTAAAAAATATTGTGCACAAATTTCATAATCAAAATGTTTATTAAGTGCACTTGAGAAGAGATTAAAAATTCACTTTAAGACATTCAACGGAAAACCCGTTGAATTGAAAGCAAAACAAGTTCTTCAAGCTGTTAAGCAAACTATTAGGTAAACGAATAAATCAAATAAATCAAAAAACTGTTTAACTGGGCGAATACTTATTTTTTGGGCGTGTACAATTGTGACCTGCATCATTAGTAAGTACTTGAAAGTGCTGTGTAACTATGTATTAGTTGTTGCTTAGAAATAAAATTTCTATCAAAGTGTTACGAGTAGACCTTCTGCTACAGTCATAATTGAATATAAAATACTCAATGCTTTAATTGGTAACTACTCACTTTTAAGGACCTTCTTGGGGCTGCCCTTTTGGGGGCTACCCTTTTGAGGCGAGCCATGACGAGAGAGGGCCGTCTTCTTGGGACTACCACGTTGAGACTCGGACTCACGTTTGGTCATAGCTGGCATCAGTTTCTCCCGCGTGGGTGAAGGCAGTAAAGCGCCCTCCTCAACGTCTGCTAAACAAATAGAAATGGAATTAGGGAACTGCAGCTAAGGGCTAGAGTTGGGCGAATGTTGGATGAGAATGAATACTACTCAGTACCACTCATTGTATGGTATGACTCTCCTAAATTCTTATGCAAGTTTGATAGAAAATCATATTTAGCAATGATTATTTTTTAAGTACTACTCATTTAACCTTTAATACTCACAACGTCTTAAGACTCATACAAATACAAGCTTTACAACCACCACAACAATAACATCGTGCAGAGATACTCGCCCAACTCTGGTTGACTTTAATCTGAGCTTACCCGGACCCGTGGTGCGCTCCAAGTGATGACGTATATTGCTAAAACGTGCTGGCAGTGCTGAAATCTCATCCTTATTATCAATCAAAAAAGCTTGGCCAGGAACTCGTGGCTTTTGTGGCTGTGGCGTTTTTTGCAAGGGCGTTGATTTTTTATTATTCTCCTGCTCTTTCTCCTCCTTGGTAATAGGTCTGCATAAAACTTAAGCTTGTTTAAAGATGTTACTTATCTAATTAAATTTTTGATTTTACCTGTGTAAAGTGGATGCTAGGGACAGTGCTGATAGCGAGCTGCGCTTGGAAACCTGATCCCAAAGATCCCTTTGTTTCTTATACAATTCCGGATCGATTTCCACGCCCCAGCCGCGACTCTGGATAGTGATCAATCGTTAAGGTTTATTGATCTAAGGCACTTTATATTATGTACTCACCTTATATTCACCGGCCTTCTTGCGCAGCTCGACCATCTCCTTGAACCACAAATCCAAATTCGGTTTCGAATGCGGCGGTGCGCTGCCATTCGTGACCACCAGCTGACCTTGATTATAATGATCCTTGGCAGCTGCTGTTCCATCAGCAAACCCAAAGTCCTCCCTTTTCGTAATATTGCGATTGATACGCTCGTGATCGATTGCTTGCGAAAACGGACGTGTGATAATTTTGCGCTCAACAAAATTCACTTGTCTGTGTAGAAAACACATTTGCAATCAGTATATATGATAATAGAGAGAAAGAACGTGTAAAATTCAGATGAATGTTAGTGGCAAGTGCGACACTTTTTGCAGGTGGGTTATTTCTTGCTTGGATGGATGGGTGGGTCTATGATGGCTGGCCTTGCTGTGGTTAGATGGTATTGATTAGTGACCACGCTGATATGGTTGAAGCTCATGAGCATATGAGAGATTGACATTGAGAATTTACTTAAAAAAAGAACTTAAATAAAAACATAAGCTTATTAATTGTTATCATACTTCTCGTGTGTTTTTCTATCATCCGTATCGCTAACCAACGGCTCCAGCTCATGCAGTTTGGCTGAAAGCACACAGATAAAAGATTTAAACAACTCTGTACCATCTAAAATGATGTGCGATTCAATTTTTTTTGTTTGCTTTCATCAATTACATAGAGATAAGAAAAATAAAATATACGAGTAATTAAGTATTAATTTGCTTTAAGTGTCAACTAAAAACAAAGGTTTTTTTATTTTAAGGATAACAAAATGAATAAGTTTTCAAAAGTATCTCGCTAGAAAAACTTTAAACTAAGGATTGGGTGAGTCTTTGTACAGCAAATCAAATGAGCCGAAAATAGGCGCTTGGTTCATGGTGGTTGGTTGTGAGTGTTTTAGTAGTGGTTAGTTGTGGTTCTGGGTACTCTAGCGCACAATTCTGAATTCTCAATTAATTAAAACCCAAAAGAGAAATATTAACATTTTCCAATCTTCGCTAAGCATTAAGTCAATTAAATAAACAAATATAAAAAATATGTATTTAAATACAATTTTCTTGCAATTTTTTGAAGCGTGTTGGATCTTTTCGGCTTTTGTGGGGTTTATTGGGGTCACTTTTTGGAATATAGAACGAAATTCGAACCAATTTGTTTTTTAAATATTCATACAAAAATATAAACATTTCGAGTTCAATGCAGCGCAGTGTTAATACATATTATATTTAAATCTTTTGTTATGCATTTTTTTATTTGAATTTGTTGTCGTTTGGGGTTTTTCAAAGCACTACGGCCAATTGATTTTCAGGCTGCACTAAAAATAAGTTTCTCAAGCTCAAGGTATAATGGCAAGACTTAAAAGCTTTGCAATGGAAGCCACTTGTTCATATTTCACTTGCATTTAAAATTATATATATATGAAAATATTAGCTATATAGATTATTTTTATGAATATACAGTTTGATTTTGGCTTACGTTTTTGGATTGTCTTACCTACGCACTTGGCTTTTACTGTAAATAATAATAATATATAATAATAATTTATAATTTATTCCGTTCTCTTGTTTTTAATTTGTATGCTTCCTTTCAGTTATTAAAAAAAAATAAAACAAAATATTTATAAAATTTAAATATTCTTAGCTCGGCATGAAAAATTTTAGAAACCTTTACTTAGGTAACGTTAATTAAAAATTATAAATATAATAAAAGACTCAATTCAGTTGGTACAACTTAAATTTTTAGATGGTATCTCACTTGCTTTTCCAAGAATGAAATCTAAAAAAAAACTCCAATAGTGTACCTAATTACTTAAGTAAGTGACGTCCTCTTACTTTAATTTGCCTAAAGCTAGCTGACATGTGGTATGATTTGATACGTACGATAAATGTGAATATAATGAATGATGCATAATGCATGATACTAATTCCATTTTGTCGTTTCTCGCATGCAACGTAACTAAAGTGAACGGAACTCCTATGCTTTATACCAAAATAATACAAAAAAAAGTATAATGAAAAATATATATAATTACAAAAACAACATTACACAACCTGCGACCGCATGCTCCGACTACACTTAGCTATTTCATCATTTGCGTAAAATTACATTGAGACGTGATAATATGGTGACAGAGTTACGGGCTGTCCAGGACATGTGTGTCCTTGTCTTTTTTTTTGTATTTATTGTGCGCCAAAGCAATTTAGGATTCTTTTCATTAAATTATAGTATCGATCAATGAAATTTTACGGCTTACCATCAACAGCAATGAATATGTCAGGTAATTTTTTTTTTTAACATGTAGTTTTTGTTGTTTTGATTTTTATCTTATTTAGAGCTAATAAAAATTAATTTAGTTCAACACTTACGTCAGCTTTTTTGGCTATAAAGATATTCTTGTGTATGTGAGTAGAGGTGTGAGTTTTTTTTTTTTTTCTTTTGGAAAGGAATTTAGCAAAATTTCGTTCTATATAAAATATATAATAAGACTTCCAAAGAGAGAGAGAGAAAGAGTAGAGATTGCTGACTGCTTGAAAACATATAATAAGTATCGATAAAAGCATTAAATAAAAATATGCCTTTAAAAATATTTTAACCAAAAAACAGTGTGAACCTATATATATATTTTTTTTTTGTTCTGTTGACCAAAATTAATAAAATATTTGTACTTAAAAAAGGTTTATATCAAGGGTGACTTAAACTTATATATGTAATATACAACTAGTGAAATTTTTGGATGAAAAGCAAAATTGTACGACGACGAGTACATAAAAAACTTGAAAATCGGTTCATTAAAGTTTATATTCAAAATTTCGCAAATTTATAGCATTTTATTATTTGGCAGTGTTGTGAAGATAAATTTTTGAACTAAATATAATTTACCAACACTAGTCAACGCATCAAAATATTAGGCATGAAATAATAGTTATTTTTGTTAAAATTTTATTCTATTTTTTAATTGAGCTCAATGCTGCTGCCACTGCAGGGACTTTTCTTTTATTATTCTTTAAAATAAAGAAATTAAAATTTTTTAAATTCTTTGAAATTAATTTGAAATTGCGCGTCCAACAATTTACTTTTAAGTAAAGGTTAGCTAACAAAATCGATTATGATATCTATGTTTTTTTTTTTGCTTTTTCAAGATTAGTACGAAGTAAAGAAACTCAATGGTTTGAAATCAAATGTTAATTATTTGTTTTAGTACGCTCGTTTGTTTTTTTTTTTTTTTTTGATGTTTAGTATTACATACATATACGAGATATTGAAAGAACTATGCGCTAATAGGATATATATATTTTGTAGTATAAGTATGTAAATGCTTAGCGACGACATATTGCTGTCGCACCTTCTTTCTGATTTGTTGTACGTTTTTTATGCACCGTTGGCAAGCCGGCACCTATCGTTTGATATTGATGTGTGTGACTGTGCGTCGGCTGGCCCGGCTGTTGACCCGTTCGGATCGCCCCCAATGATATTGACTTTCTTGGGTAATCGCCGGCCGCGGCTCTCGCCGTCGTCGCTACGTTTGAATCGTTGCCCTTAATGCGTCGGTCATTGGGCCAAACGAATTGCAGGCGATACTCAGTGCTCAATTTTGTGATGGTCTTTTTCAATAAGCCATTTGACTCACCCGCCTGCGAAAGAGAAGAGCAGAATCACAAGAGACGAGAAGACCAGAAAAAAAAAGAAACAAATAAATGTGAGAGAGTCAAAAAGATAAGAACAAAGAGAGAAAGAGAGAGCAATTGCATTGACGCATTGACAGTTTTTTTTTTTAAGTTACAATTTAAAAAATTATTAGCAATAGCATTTGATTAGTAATATTTGAGTTAGTATGCGTAAATTATGATTGATTGGGGGACGATCAGAGTATAGTTAACATAGAGAAAAATACAATAAAAAAGATCGTGTGTGGTATGGAGAACGAGAGAGACAGAGAGAGAAACAGAGAGAGAGGGGGAGAAAGAGAGAAGGAAGAAACAAATACACATAATGCAAGTATAATTTGTAAATTTTTATATTTAACATTAATCGATTCTAAATAGTCAATGTTTATACTTAAGTTTAAAAAAAATGTTTAAGTGTTAAATATTTAAATAACAAAAAGTATTTTAAAAGGAACAAATTCATAAGTTAGAAGCTTAATCTCATAACTTTAACAAATATTAGTCGATTTTTACCATGGGTATCATTTTAGTCCCATTTTGAACTGCAGATTGAAAAGACGTTTGAACCGACCTCCGGATAATTTAAGAAAGTCATAAAAATACAAATTTTATATGTAAGGCCGAAAATATCGACGTTTCGAGTCGAAACCAAGACAAATGAAAATCCGAAGAATAAGCGAGCAAATATTGAAAAAGTTATGCGAGTTCTAAGTATATAAATCAGATTTATGTTCAATTCAATCAAATCTTATATTCAATCATGAAAATATATAAAAGAAATCCTACAAATCACAGACACAACTGATAGATACTCAAATATAATGCAAGCAGGTATCAAGGATACATAAAAATAGATATATTGCGGAAAGACGAATCGATAAACAGCGGTAAGGGCAACTAATGAAAATGTTGAAGAGTTTTGCAGATTAAAAATTTACATTCAGGTCGAGTGTTTGCCTGTGACTAACTGACGCTCTGGCAGTCAATTCAATGGCACTTTTACACACACACACACAATTACTATAAAAATTTCCCATAGCTGCAATGGCGAGACAGAAACAAGTTACAAATGTAACGACATGTGCCACATGCATGCACACGCACACACTCGAAAGCATATAAAAGAGCTTGCCAATAATAGAGGGCCTGTGGAGGCGCAGCAAGAAGTAGGGAGAGCTGATAGACAGCGACAGTGAACAAAAAAAATCATAATAGAAATTGTTGCGCGTCGCTGGGTCCTCGTTTCCAATGTTTGGTCCATTGGTCCGATGAGTCGTGCCCTATCCTAGATCGGTATTGGCGACAGTTCCTTTCTTATATATTTTTTTTTCTTTTTCACAGCGCCATGACATAGCATAAAATCATGCTGGTTAGCAATTTTGTAGTCTCACAACTTTGAGAACGTGTCACAATTGAGATAGGACGTTGCCATTGCAGCTACTCGCACTTAGACAGATTTATAGTTGTAAGCCAAATGCATATGTACATTAAAGTACAGCACATGCATGTACCACACAGCACAGTATGTAAATACAGATAGTTTCTGAATGGAATTTATACTAGGCGTCATAGAGTGTAAATCAAAAAATCATTAAATATTAAAGCTAAAGAAATATTTGTGTTTCCCAGTGACGAAAGCTGCCAATTATTTTTATTATACTTTCTGAATAGTCAAGTAATTGACGCTTTGATTTAAATAAATAAAATTGTGAGCTATTTAAGTATTGGAACTTTTAGAAGTTTAAACTTTAAAGCAAGTTTTAAAAATACATTTACTCATTAAACTGCTAGCTTATTAAGTTCAAGACTTTAATGCTTTCAACAGCTTTCAAAGAGTAAGTATAATGCACAGAAAACATAAAAGCTCATTCAAAGCTGTATATTTGATGTAAGACTCCCAAGTTAATTTGGTCATGTGCTCTTAAACCTTTAAGTTAAACTAATTCAGCTGCTAAATAAAAGCTTTCAAGTGCTCTTACTGTAAAGTCTTTAAAGGGGTAACAATTTACTGATTACGCATGCTGCTCCCGAAAACTTGTCATATGAGAGCTTCAAGTGCCATTATCAGCTTTTGTCACTGGGGTTTAGCATTTATTTGCAACGACACATGCATTAAACAAGTCCGAAACATGTTTGGTAGTATAACTGCAGGCGCTCATAAGAACATTGGGTTATATATGGATATACGTATATATGGTATAAATATTGATCGATCATTCTTTGATGCTTAAGACATTAGGTAAGTGACATTAGGTAACTAACTGACCTGTTTACTAGTAGTTCCATCGATCTCCGTTGCAATGGGATAAGGGCGTCCTTTGGGCACAACGGGTGGTCCTTCCGATTTGCTGCGGCGCGAAGGTGTGCCGCGCTCCTCCGACTACAAATAGACAGACATACGCACACAGATATTTGTGTGTGTGTGTGTTTCAGTTAATTAGCACCTCATTAATATTACGCATACGACATGCTGACGCACATGATCGGGTAGCACAACAGCAGAAAAGCCTCGTACCCAAGTAAAACTCAATTAAATATTTATTGTCAGGGTGTGTAATAAAGCACACACGTACATATACAAATACAAACATAAGAAAGTGTCCTTGTGTGCAACATGTGCGCATTTTTAATTAGCATTGACAGAGAAAAGCCGCCCACGCTACCAACCGCACAACTGCCCCGCCACATTTGGTTTTTTGTGTGTGGCATTAGAAACCACTCACGTATTTCTGCATAAGCGAATTAACCCCAATGTCAAACTAAGCAAAAAGTCAGGCAGCCAACATGTAGTTTTTTAAATAGACTCTTCATCAAATGCGCATTATGTATTAACTCAAAAAAGGGAAACACAACACGCCTCAAACTTTTATTTCTCAATTTTTTGCACGTAGGCCCCACTTAATGTTTCAACAGCGCATGAATTTTTACGGTGGCGGCTTTTTATTTTTCTGACTATCCACAAATGTGCACACAACCATTTTGAATTTATTTTATTTTATACTTTTTTCCTACAGCTTATATATTGATATTAAATATGCGAATAGAACGTGAATGCATTAAAAACCACACACTTATGTTATACTAGCGTGTATGACCCGGTCTTGCCCGTGGCACGTATAAAATAAATGTTCTCAAAAAGCTTTGAAAATGATTTTGAAACTGACGGTAAGTAAACAACTATCATACAAACGTTTTCCCCCAATTTACCACTGTTGTGGGTGGAATTTCCCAAATCGCTGAAACACGTATTCATTATGTTCTTATGTAGAGCTCTAAAAATAAGTTTGAGGTAAATCGGAATAAATTAAAAACTGCACAAAAAAATCTGAGAATCTCTTTTCTACCGAGGATGCTTTGATTCTGCGAAAAACGTGGAACACGTGTCAAATGATTTTTCATATAGATTCTTGAAAATGAATTTGAAACGTCATCCACCAAATCCTTGACCCCCATTTCCACCAAGGAGGAATACATTTTTGGAAAAGTGTGAAACACCCCTCAAATGAATTTGAAATAAGAAATTTAGTTTGAAGCCGATCGGATGGTAAACAAAAAAATTGCATACAAATGTTTTTCGCGATTTTTCCATACTTGCGGGTGGAATTTCCCTTCATCACAAAAGGTAACTATAGTGAAAATTTCAGCTTCCTAGCTCTAACGGTTTAGGCTGTGCATTGATCACCAATCAGTCAGTCAGGACAAACAGTTTTATATATAGAGATTACCAAGCAGCTGAAAATTTAACGAGTTAATTTAAATAACAATAATTTTCTATTAAAGCCTAAGATATTTTTATACCCTGAACCCATTAAAAGTGGGTATAAGGGTATATTGTATTTGTGCAAAATCCAAATGTATGTAACAGGCAGAAGGAAGTATCTCCGACCCCATAAAGTATATATATTCTTGATCAGCATCAATAGCCGAGTCGATCTAGCCATGTCCGTCTGTCTGTCCGTCGGTCCGTCCGTATGTATGAACGCAAGGCCCTCAGAACCTATAAGAGCTAGAGACTTAAAATTTTAGATGTAAGTGCTCCTAGGGCCTGCGCAGATCTAGTTTATTTCCGATAATCGATAACCTACTCCGTTTCCAAGCAATCGATAAAAATTGATATCGATATCCTGTTTTTTGGGCAATTTTGGTAAATAATACGAGCTAGAGTCACCAAACTTGACATATAGCTACTAAAATAGAATATATATATGCATTTGATGTTGGAAGAAGAGGGTTCAGGATATCCCCTAGTCGGGAGCTCCCGACTAGAACCTCTTACTTGTTAAAGTTTGTATAGTTACATTAATTTCCAAAGCAACTTGTTTATTAAATATATTATATTTCATTAACAATAGTATATATCCTTCTGCTTAAATTAAAATTAAGATCCTCTATGGTACTATACTTTCTATTAAATCTGTAGGAAATCGATTTTTTTTTAAATGCTCATCTAATGCAAACCTATTGCATCATATTTGTCTAGCACAGCCTGCACACATTTTACTCCGACAACTTTCTGTAAAAATGATTTACTTTTCACGTAAAATTTCCTAAAAGCAACAAACATTGCATTAACATCGGTCGTGAGCCACTCGTTGTTACAGTCAGAAATTCTTGTGCTCGTATTTCACAAGGTCAGATCAAAGGTGAAGGTAAATTTTCTTATATATATATATATATATATATATATATATATATATATATATATATGTATGTTATTTATAAAATACTCACCCTCGCCGCACGGTGCGCACTGGCATCTCGACGTGCATCTGTATATTCGGATCCTATTATAAACTCGTGCGATTTATATGCTAATTCAGGGCATTTTTTTCGACGTGGCAATGGCGGCTCATTTGTTGGACCTGTGGGACAGACAAACCATGACAAATAGTTTATAGAGATAATATATTCAAATCGATAAATCGCCATGACAATGCCAGATTAGTGGACAATCAAATTGGGCAGAAGGAATAAGGGCTTTATGAATACGCACCAACAAATTGACTTGGATTTGGCGCTGGCGCCCGACGCACAACCTCTGGCCGCGAATTGCCCGTAAATTCATGCCAACGATAAGTGCTCCTATACTCCGAATGGAGCTGCTAGAAAATAAGAAAATAGAGGACAAGCAATAAGTAAGAGGCACAAGTTAGTCATTAGTTATAGTCAGTGCTTTGAATTGATAAATTAATTGAGGAATTACATGGAACAAAAATCATATATCACAATGAAAGAATACTCAACCGCTGCATTGATATACAGATTTGTCCACAATTGCAAACCATGTTGATTTTAACGTTATATACCTGATACTCAAAGAGAAATCCTATCCAAGCAGCAGATGAAGAAGTGCTAAAGGGCTCGACTTTCCCCAACATTACCCTCATAAACATCCGTTGGCAGAGTTTTTGATAAACCTCCCATGAAAAATTTAAATGTAACTAAACAACCGCTAATGCACAACTTTCAACATTATTCACGTTAGCTTTTAAAATATCATGACCAATTAAAGTGATTTATGCAAAATAAAACAATTAGCCAAAACGCAACGCCCACAAACAATTAAGCCAAACAGAAAATGACAAAAAAGTGGACACATTCAGCCAAACATTTTAATCAAATGTGAATATTTTGAGACCAGTGTCAGAGTAGGGCCAGGCGAAAAGCTGTAGATATATATCTATTTTTCAAAGCTGTGCGCTATTGGCCAGTTTGGCTGGCAATTCGGGCGCATGGCCAAAATGTGGTTGTCGCATTTGCAATGCAGCTATGGTAATCGTCGGACATGTCCTTCTTTAGCTGCTGCTGCAAACATTTGATAATTCCAGCCAGAAGAGAAAGAAAATGGAGAAAAAGAAGCAGCTAGTAAAAAATCCATAGCTTTTGCCAATTTGTACAGTCAAGTTTATAGCTTTATGGCTATGACGAAAACTGAAATGCGTCCGTAATTTTCGTATCGATTGAAGCGCAGCTACTGCAACAAGGACTAAGGACATTTTCGATTATATTCCGCTGCAAGTAGCTGTAAATTGTGTTAAGCTCGACAAAAGTTCAAAACAACAAACAGACAGACAAGCAGACAGACAGACAGACAGAGAATCAGACAGTCAGTCTGCTTGTTGGACAGTTAGTAGAGTTAATTATGGTGTCAATTTGTTTTTGTTTGCCGTGCTAACTTGGCCAAGAGTCCTTTCTGGTATCTGTGTTAGCAGTTGCTTATGGAATGCGCATTGCTACTTGACTGTCTTTTATCGTGCCATTTTTGTGGCAAGGTACAAGTAATTACCACTTAGCACGCAACCCTAAAGACAATGCCAACCGGCTGGCTTCTTTGGTGCATTATTCATGCAGCTCCTGACCAGACCTTTCTCTGCTTAATTTTAATTTTTAAGTAGGTCTCAGGGCTAAACAGTAACAACTGATTGCTGTAAGGCCACTCAATCAATTTGGAAGGCATCTTTAAAATTTACTTCAATTTATCTTTGCATAATGTATGCAGCTTTTAATTGACTATTTGTTTAACACTAAATAGTTTTGAATTATAATGGAATACAAATAACAGAAGAAAGATTAAGATGACGTTAAAGCTTTTTATTAATTATTTTTTACGACTAGATAGTTATTTTATTATAAAGGTAGATAATCTTTAGATAGCTTATATTGACTACTTGTTTTCTTTGGTTATTGGAACGTTAAAACTATGAACAAAATCAAATTATATTAATTGTAATGATTCTTTTGAATAGAAATATTTCATTTTTGGTACACTGCTTTGTTCCCAACATACTTTTAGAATGATTTCGTTTTTATTTTATTCGTATATTATTTATTGTCCTTCTGGATTGCTTATAATTATAAAGAAAACATGAGAAGCACTATATCTTATAGATCTTAATAGACCTTAAAAACCTTTGGCATATAAGGCACTTTTCTCGAGTAGATCGTTTGTACTCATTTCCTATACTCCTTTTAAATATGCCTATAACGCCTCATTAAATGTAGATCCACACCCATTGAGCCAAAAGTCAATCCAAAACTTAAATCAAGCTCAAACCCCACTTTTATCCATCATGTAACGCCCACCAATTAACCTAATTTCCGTCAAACCTCTAAAAGGCGTCTAGACAGGCTCTCGACCCCATAGCCCCATTGAAATGCCATTTAAAAAGTTAATTAAAAATCAATTCGCTAGACAATAAATAACTTTTACAAACACTTCCCCAAGCAACTTATCACAAGGGAGTTGCTCACGAGCTGTGGTTGTCAGCCCAGAAGAGTATTTGTAAAACCGCAGCTCATGCATAGTTTAGTCGATGAACCCCAAGCTAAGCGCACTTTATTCGATTAATTGAAGGTGCGCGCTGCCCTCGAGGTTCGTTTTTCATCTGCATTGGGAGTGCCAGTTGCAAGAACGGGGTGTTTTCATACAATGCTAAGGGCAGGTTGAGTGCCTGTTGGCACGTGGCAGCAACACCTGCCCCTGTTTATTGCATATAATATTTTTTATGCTGCAGCCATTTATCATGTCACTTTTCCCCGAGGAAGAGGGGAACTGCGGTAGGTATCCCATAAATTTCCAACTGATTTATGTGCGTTGCACCTAATTGATTGCAGCTTCAAAATGCAAACCGCGACTGAAATGTGTTTTCTTTATTATTGTATAAATATTTGATAACATTTTATTTTTTTTTTGCGGTTCGTTGAGAGCGTACTTCAAATTTAGTTTGTGCTTTCGTGTGGTTTTGCATGTTTCGTATTTTAATTGTGGTTCAACGAACTTTTTGTCTATAACGTTTTTAAAGACCTAAATTTGCAATAGAATATTAAATATTAAAAAGTGCTTTCCATTTTTAAACTGTTCAAACACTCAGCTGCAATTTGTATGCCCAATGACATAAAAATCCTGATAAGCCTGTTGACAAGCAGCTTCAGCCAGGCACCTGCAGTGTGCATCGCATCGAATTGACATTTTAATTAAATTATTTAAAATTGCAATCGTCTTATGGCTGACAGTGATTGAGCTTGCTCAATATTGCTTGCAATATTTTCATATAAGATTGACCATTCAGATACTTGATTGAATTGTGCGGGAACAAATATTTATTGATAACTCACATATTTAAGTAAATAATTGCTTAAGCGTTCATATTTAAGAAAAAATATATATAGTTTAAATATAATTGTTAAAGAATTATTACCAAATATTAAAATATGAACAAATTTAAAGTGAAAGGCGAAGCACTCAAAGCATTTGCAAACTAATGTTCATAAAGTAACTTCTAGTCGTATAAGCTTCACTGCAACACTATTATTTTGTACACAACTTTTTAGTGCTTGCCTAAAATAAACGCAGTGATCATTTCAATTTGTTATTGACCATAACAATTTAATAGCCAGCACTTTTGACACGGCCATAACTCATGCGGTACCTACATGCCAGGCTCTATAAAATTCCCAATTTACGAACAAAAAGAAATGACCCACACAATTTATCGCCCATTGGTGTAAGTAGAACTATGCGATTGCTAAATCTGGTGCAATAATTTTCATAGCATAGTTGCAGGCGTCAGTTTACAGTGCGCCAGAGTCCCTTAATACAGCACTAAGCTACTCGTGTTAGATAACTAAAACCGAAAACCGCAAACTAACCATGTGTATGTATATATATACATACTGAGTATATAGACAATATTGTGTGCGTGTTTAATCTATCCACAGGGACTTTTTAAGTTTTATGCGAACAAAGGACACCTTGAAGCGAACAGCACTTGCAGTTATCGCCAGGCCGACTGCCTGCGGTCCTTTTGTGTGCAAGGAATATGAAGGACAAACAAGCGCATAAAATTTCATTGTCCAATGAGGTTTTTTCCCTTTGTCTTGGTTCGCACAATAAGTTTGTGAGTTATCATAAGACTCTATAACTAGGGTTCTAGTAATCTGTAGTTAAAATGAAAAACCTATGCACAGAGAAAAAGTGTTTAAAATCAACCATAATCGTCGCTATAAGCTAATAATATATTTATTTTTTAATTTTGCACATCATATGCTTACTTAATTTCTTTAATAAACATAAAACGAAAAACAAATTAGCAAAGAGCTTTTAATAATATACATTAAAATATAACTCTGTTTTGCGGGTTAATAAACTGGACTGAATAGAAATCATAATAAAGATTAAAGGCCGTGTATACATATTTTTTAAAATAAAAATATATTAAATGATGCAAACAAAATACAAAATATAATTAAATTTATAATGCAAATATAGATTTATTATAAGAACAAATTAAAATATGTAATTTATGTTTTTTATATTGTGGTAAATAATTCCAATTTATCAAATTTCAATATATTACAAACTTTATATAAAATCTTATACCATCTGGTATTTATTGTATATATTTGAGCCCCAAAACTAATCATGCAGCCCACGTGTGCAAGTTTTTCCATTTCCATTTTTTTTTTTTATTTTACGATGCATTTTGTCATTTGACACCATTTTGTCTGGCGCAGATGGCGTCACGACAGGTGACAGAGGATAGTTGCTTTTATGGTTTCCACTGGCACCGACCAAAAACCAAACCAAACACAAACATCTGGCGTGCGCTTCCCCTCTAATCCCTTCTCCCACACGGGGGCTGCCGTTCTGTCTGCCAATGCGTGCCCCCGGCCCGCTACTGCGGTTTAGTTTGCTCGATTGCTCAACTAACCGCGCAATACAATCAGACGTTCTATATATGTGTGTGTGTGTGTGTATGTCTATGGTGTATGTGCCGTGTGTGTTCATAGCCTGCACCAGCAATTAATTTGCTCGACATGGCCCCAGGCGTGTCGGAACGCTAGTTTTTTTTCCTTTTCTAGTGTCATTCGTTTGCCTAAATTTAAGTGCCCTGTTTTAAGATGACAGCAACGAGCCTCGCCTTCAGCTTGACTTTGGCGCAGATTGACTTGTAACTAGGCTATGGCAGAGGCAACGAAGCAGTCGACCCCTTGCACCTCTAAGACCAACCTAATAAATTGCCAAGCTGTTGTCGTGGTCGTCCCTTAATGAGGCTACCGGCGGACCCTCAGCAGCACAAATGCCCATTAGCCGCTTGGT